AGGCCGCGGGCCCCGCGCCTGCAACAGCGCCCCCCCGCGGGCCGGAGGTCCCGGTGCCGCCCGCCCCCCCACAGCCCATGGCGGCGGCGGAAGGAAGAGGCGGAGGCCGGGCCAGGACCCTACATGCCTTTATTACAGACTACCAAGCATAAGTGAAATCCATCATCCAGTCACTAACTACACATCTACAGCACAGAGATCTGTCGAGAGGAGAATAAACAGTCATTAAATTATGAGATATGATTAAATCATCGACCAATAGAAAATTTATATAATAAAGCCAGAAAAAAGGTGTAAAATATAGTTTACAATAATTATTCACATTCAAGGCTGTACATCAATACATACAACACCATGGCCCCGAACATGAATTCAATCCAAATAATTCATATATTAGAATTTAAATAACACAGACTGAACTAGAGGCCAACAAGAGCCAGCAAATAACCTTATAAGAATAAAAATACAAAAGTGTGTATCTTATATCATTGCATTATTTGCTTCTGTTTTCACGAGTTCTTGGAGGAGGGGAGATTGTTTTGTGGTATTCGTTGAGGGGGTCTGGGGGTTGGTTATTTTTTTATATTTTTTTTCTTTTATCTGTACATCACAGTTACAGCTACAAACCAGGTAGAGAATATTACACACCTAACTGACTGCCACCAACCTGAAAACAGCTAGCATACAACTATCGAAACTGATTATGGTTCCTGGTTCCTATTTTTTTCTCTCTTCTGTCAGATAGAGTAATCTTAAGTTCTGCTACAATTTAGAACATTTGCCACATCCAATCAGAGTTAGTACATGGTCATCGGAAGCTTTGTCAAATGGCAACCATCCACATTCACTGCCATGCTGACAGACAGACCAGGTTATCGGGTGCTTAAGAAGCTCTCCAATTTTTTGCTGTATAAAAAGCCATGTTTCTTCTGAGAAAGAGGAAACATTCTTAAATTACCAGTCTTAACTGAAAGCATGCCATTTTGGGTCAGAGAATTACTTGTCTGTAAGCTCACTTGATCAACTGATGGACAATCTGTGTCATGAAGCTTTGCAGGAGCACTTCCATTCAATTAATAAAAAATTTGCATAAAATTACAGGCATTCAGCAAAATTTCAGATATAAATACCACACCTATTTGTGTAATTCACTAGTAGAAAGAATGATCAGAATCCATAGACCACATCTTTAGGCAACTATTAATGCACAAGTTCTCTCCTCAGCAAGGTGTTAGAACGGAATGTTTTGTCCACAGGCCAAATGAAGTAATTGCATTGACTTTACTAAATATTTTTAAAGAAACTGTGAAATGTACATGTGGGAAATCCTCAGGATTCTTCAAAAGTTCCAGCACAAAACATAAGGATATCAAACACATTAAATTAAGCATCTTGAACTATGAATATGGATTACAATTACCCCATCTTTTTTTCAACCTACAGAGTTTTTTCCAGGCTTATATATGGCAGATACTTCACAAATGAATCATGTAAGAAGGAGAAATCTAAGTGGAGCACAGTACTATCTGATGGTTTGATGTCTTCAGCATCTAAGCGCTTAGCAAATCTTAATCAGTAATATCAGTCTGCTCACAATGCCTCAGCATCACACCCAAAGCAAGTCTTCCTTAATAAATATCCTCCTGAAAACTGGGCTTTGAGGCCAAAGGGAATAAACTCACCTCTCCAAGTTTATCAAAGTAGTTTTAAACTGCCTGCGACTGGGCTGGACACTGAATAGAACAGCGCGATTCAAAAATCCTTTCTAGCAGTAGTACTTCATCCTTTCTTAAGCTCCACCCCACAGAAAACAGTTGGAATGAACACCTTCCTGAAGTTTAAATCCCAAGCAAACCAAAATTACAACATTACTGACCAGATTCTTTAGAGATGATTGGCAATTGTTCAAAATGCAAAAGATGGAACCCAATCAACAGATTGGGTTTTCTGTAGGTTTGCAGCGAGGAGTCTGAAGAAGAGTCTTGGAGTGCCTAACAACCCTTTTTGTGCTTTGAAAAACCTTGGATAAAGAGCAGAGAAATTAACTGGCTTATCTGCAGCTCTGAAGAACATACAGTTCATTCCGTGAACTCCCATGAACCACAGGAGTGATCTTCAGGACAAAAACCTGAAGCTACTCCACTTCAGGTATAAGCTTTTGAAGCAGGAACCAGCCCTTCACAGTATGCAGCACCTGCCAATACATATTTAAGTGGACAAACTGGTGAAACATACTTAAATCCACATGATTGCTTTGTCTTGCTTTACTCTTCTTTTGCCATCTTTCAAAACCACAGATTTCACTTACAGTCCAAGACAGACAAATACCTCTCCCAGAAAAGTTCTAGTCCCTTCCCCAAAAAGTGGCAGCAAAGGAAGACCTGATTTGGAACACTGAAGTTCTAAGGGGAGGGATGCCTGTAAGAGAATGCTCACAGTTTTCTAATGACAGCGTTGTCAAAAAAAAAAAAAAAAAAAGAAATACTAGAATGCAGAAGTCAGCCTTCTAGACAGCTTCTTGATAGCTTACTGCTATCGAGATTTCTTTGGCTGAAAGCTTTTGGTGGGCAGGATGGAAGTCTACTGAGAGAGGATTTTCAATGTGTGAAAAAGCACAGTAATTACTTTGTTATGGCAAAACAACTACAAGTCTAAATATTACAGAAAACATGTTTATGCATTCCTAGATTTCCACCTAGTGAACAAGCCAATGAAGATCACTCCATCTCCCAATGAAGTTAAGGTGTTCGCTATGAGCAGAACAACTTTGCCAGACTTTGTGTGACAAGTTTTGTCACACCAAACAGCAGTGGCATCATGAATCTCCATCACTGCCACACTCTCCTGTATAAAGATGGGAATACATCTACATGTCTACACCAAAGACTAAATCCAAAAGCAGTAGGGCTGCCCTCAGTGGACCCAACATATAGCTGGAATTTGACAGTCAGAGGACAAACTGAGAGCACTGCAACAAAATTACAATACATGTCATCTTGGTTAGAATGGTAAATATTGGATTAATACAGGCACAGGCAGAGGTGTACTGTGCTACTCTGAATTTTAGTGACAAGGAGCATACCTTGTATGTGATGAAATTTGTCATGATGCAGAGGGACTGGTGTTCTGTCTTTCTCATACAGCCATTTACAGGACACCTTATCTCCCTTAACACCAGGCACTGTGAGCCAGTGATTTACTTTTGTCAAATCTGTGTACGTGGTGGGTTAACAGAAGACTGCAAGAAAGTATTTCCTCCAAAAGAAAGGCAACTGCACTCTCTCCTTTAAAGACTGAAAGATACTGGAAAAGCTGAACTGTCATCAAGTTCAACTACATCACACAGCTTTTAAGAGATCAATAAGTCTCCTTCACCCTGTACAACAACAAAATATCCAACATTCATGTGTTTTCTGACAAATCTGATAAGCCACTGCTTTTAAAATACTGCTTCTAGAACAGCAGCCCATGAGGTTTTTTTTCCAACATTGCAGTGGAACATTTCTTTCTTTGGTGGAAGGAAAAGCACATCATAGTACGAGACCTCAAAATGCAAAGAGATGGTATGCGTAGAAGGTGAATAAATAGGTGTGATGTTTATACTGCATTTTAAAACAAGGAAGGAATGCCTCTGTCCAGACCTGGGTCATTCCTCTCTGCAAGGTTCAGGAACACGGGCACGTTGAAAATACCATTATGGAAGTTGTTTTTAGCACATAGAAAGTTATGTCTTTGCAACATTACAAGAAATGTTTGACCACAAAAAAAGACTTAATTTGAAGAGGATAAAGGAGATCGATATGAAAAATATTTTCATTTTACAGATATGCCTTAAGTACCATACATTTTCCCCTTTGTATCAGTATTTTCATTTGAATTTTTAACCAGATTACTTAAGATCTAATATTTCAATTGCTTAAGTTCTTTTTCAGAGTTGCTAAATATTTGGCCGAGGACCAAAAATAGGATTATTTGTACATCTCATTATACAATGAGACAAAAGAAAGTCAAGTAATCAATTGTACAAAGCTTTCACACTTCCTTCTCTACCCAGGTAAATAGGTTGGCCCCACTAAAATGCACAATACATGCACGCCCTGGAAAGAAAGCTCCTAGCCCTCATCTCCTGAAAAGGTGAAAAACTATTTACTACTTCAATAGTAACCTTTTCCCCCCATACTAACTAGTTAATTTTTTAGTTAGCATTAGTTAAAAGCATGCTGGTAAGTTTATTGTCCCTTGATTAAATACACATATGATCCATATTAAAATTTTAATTGAATGTTTAAAATCTTATACGCTTCAGAAGCCAACATTTCAATTTTAGAAAACTTTCAGTGCCACGTTCAGCATTTTACTCTCTCAACCTGTATCACTGGAGCCTGTCTGCCAGACACATACATCTGATTCATTCACATAATTACTAAAGTACCACATAAATCCTGCAACCAGAACTATATTAGGAATTACACAAGGGTGCAACTGACCTGGCGACAAATGCCATATACCAATAAGCTGGGGGACTGTGAGGAAAGGAAGAGAAAACAAAGAGGTGGTGCTTAGGAGAGGCATATAAAAGCTCCCTGATGAAATACAGTTTAATGATAATCTGAAAGTCACAGAAAACTCCAGCCCCATAAAATGCAAGGCTGGTACATGATTCGGCGTGTGTGCGTGTGGATTGGTTTTAACTCATCTTAAGTGAAGCTGGTAATGCAAGGTCTATCCACTAGTCTGCAGCAGAAATTGAGCTGAAGTGCACAAAAGCAAGATCTTCACTGCAATGATATGCATGTGGAAGCCTCAACAGAAGCACAAAGAGCGAGCAAAGCGACCCTGAATTCCATTAGGTTTTTGCTTCTTTTTTCTTTCTTTTTTTTTTTAAAAAAAAAAAAACAAACAAAAAACAGAACATTTCAGACATATGCTTCCCCTTGAGATGGTAATAGGCGGGTTGGAAAGATTCCTCTGATCGGCTGCACACGGAGTTCTAGCAGCAAGTAGGGAAACTGGGAAATTTTGGATGAGCTTTACTATTTAGCAGCATTCTGGTGGTATCTGTGCCGCCACACTTCGTGTATCTTTTTGCACCATTTATGAGCATTCCCACTTGGGTCCATCAGGTAATATGTCCTGTTTGGCTATAAGTGAACAACATTTTAATGAGTACTCCAAATACAGTTTAACCAAAAAGCAGTAATTATTTTGCACCTACCAATAAAATAATTACTCAATCAGTTCATAACCTTTCCAAAAGATGAATTCAATTACAATTATATAACATTATCTATCACTGAATAACCACGCATCTGGCATCTCAACACTGTTAAGCAGTCAAGTCAACTGACAATATATTGTTAGTACCTTGTAATCCAGTATTTACGAAGAGGGCTAAATTTTAGAAGTCCTTAAGAACTTCCTTCAAATCCCCAAATCCACTTACAGTTTATTTATATATGAATAATAAAAAATACACTTGCATTTTTGTGGGAAATGTGTATGTCAGGGGTTTTTTATTGGTGTTTTAGTTTGGGTTTTGCATGTTGTTTTTTTTTTTTTAATTAAGACTATCAACACTTGTATTTAAGGAATTATATTTTCCTCCAGAAAATATTTATGCATTAACAACTTACAACAATTGTCCAAGGACCTTAGTACAACTTATAAAGAAATAAAGAAAGTTACTTACTGTGTGAACAAAAAATGTCTTAAAATTCTTGGCTTCTGGCCGCAACTCTAAAGACCACGGAATTTCTCCTTTTAGAACTTTGTTGACAGGATCCACATAATACAGGTGGGGCCCTTCTGTGAGCAGCAATTGGCGCCGACGTGCAAACAATCCCTAGCAAGAAAAGTAGAAGCAGCAGTGCAAAAAAAGCACAAGGAAAAATAAAAAATGTAAGTGTGTAGATCTCTGAATTTAACAACAGAGGTAGAATTAAAACAGCTCAGTGATAGGATAATATGTTTGAGTTCAGGGGACTTTTTTTGTTTTCCTTTTGCTTTACTTATTTGACCTCACTCCTTTTTTAAGGGTTTGCAGTGCATTTCTACTACATGGCAAAACACAAGTACTATTTTAAGAAAGCATCTTCAAGGTCCAAGAAAACATAAAACAACTAGCTGTACAGAGTGAAGCAAAATCTATTTGTCAGATTCCAGCACATTAATCAATACTCACAATTTTGTCAAGAAAATTAGGAACAAGCAGGTAGTAAGTTAGATGACAGAGAACCTACATTCTTGTAAAGCTGGCACAGACTACTGTTGCTCATCTGTACTATGTTAAAGTTATAACTTAAAGCTGTTCTAAGGTCACTTCTGCCTCTCTTAGGATACAGGCACTAGTCAGATCCAGGAAAAACACCACAGTTAAAGAACAATATGGGCTTGTATTTTATTTTCTGATATTTGTGGCTTGATCCACATGCAGACATGCATCAAGACAAAGTATTTAGTGGGCTATATCAGATTGGGAGCAGGACGGGGAACAAACACTCATTTACTACAGTCTCAACATGAAAGCATCAATAGCGCATTTACTTTTAATCTTTTCCAAAAATCAAGAGCACACCACTAAATTAAGAAGAAACAATCTATTCACAAGAAAACATTACATTTTAAAAAAATAAACAAGACAATGTAACACCTACAAATAAAGGAAGCTCCAAAACAGGTTCCTTATCTATGCTGCAACTGTGCAAAAATGTGACAGCTGAATCTTGTTACAGGGAATTAAGAAAAGCCCATACCTTTCGTTTGTCCACTGGACCCATTTTTAGGATTAAGTTATTTTCTACAAACTGATGCCTTAAAAAAAAAAAAAAAGGAAAAATAACTATTACTCCAGAAGTAATTCTTCCACAGAAACAGCTTTTATTATTATTATCATCAAGCAATTTTTCATGTCTCTCTCTAGTGTCTCCTTTTCCGCCACAGAGTCCTGGAACAACTTTACTAGATGAATTTTGGACTCTTCCTCACTCGACGCCAAAGAGTTTTTTCTAAAATCTGACAGAAGGGAAAAAAAATATCAGAAATGAGAAACTCCTCTCAAGATTGAAGAGAAATGCTAATAAGTACTTGGTCTGGAGGTATTTTGGTTAGATAGCAACAGAATTATCATTCAAAAAAAAAACCCAACTTATAGCAACTGTAAGAAAGAAGGAACCTTTTCCAGTTCTAGGACTCTGTAGAGGGAAGATATCTCACCATTGGTATAGCATCATTTCTGCCTGTCTTATAAACATACTTCGCATCATCTTCTAGACCTTGTAAATTTTAGAAACGTATTATTAGGTTTTTACTGCTATTGCTTTAAAAATAGAAGTCAAGAAAAATCTAGTTGTTAATTATTTGCGTGAAGATGTTCTGGATTCCTTACTTCTGTGCAAGTAACAGATGAGCCCATCCCTGGATGTGTTCAAGGCCTTGGACGGGGCTTGGAGCCACCTGGTCTAGTGGGAGGTGTCCCGGTCCATGGCAGGGGGGTTGGAACTACATGACCTTTAAGGTCCCTTCCAACCTAAACCATTCTATGATTCTGTATTCAGAGATCTTACCAGGGATTTCCACCAGCTTGTTTTGCCAGAAGTAACCTCTTTTCATCCTCAGAAAACTGTAAGTCCAGCTCAAAGGAATTGTTGTCAAGATCATGAATATACTGCTCAATATTTCCTCCTGATGTCTGTGGTGTACTCGTCTCTGGGGCAGACAGCGAATGGGAAGAGGCAGAACCAGAAACTTGCATACAACCAAACTGACTCAGGAGATTGTCATACTAAAGGAGGAAACAAAATGAAGTAAAGAAATTTCTTTCATTAAAAAGCTTATTTTGCGCTAAATGCCAGCTTTTAATTTAAGCATGCTTCTTTTATTATGCTTTTGGGCAAAAAGACAGCCTACTCTCTACAGGCTGACAGGCACTTATCCAAAAAAGTATGCTTGGTCAAAAGCAGGCCAACCATTTTTTTTTTCCCAAACACTCACTTAATCAGAAAAAAAAAAAAACAACTGACTAGTTCAAATTTTAACCAGCATTTTTATATTAAATTCTTAATAATAATTCTTAATAATAATATTCATTAAAATATAACTAATCGGTAGTTTCAATAAAAATATTTAATATACAATAATCATGCTTTAATGAAAGTCTCAGGCAGCATCAGAGCCAAATATATCAATAGACAAACATACATTTCCATAACAGTCTTCATCATCCTCTGACATAGCAGGTAAATACGCTGTAAGTTTTGGAGGTGTCTGAAGATGTAGGTTCTCCCACACAATGGATTCAAAGAAGGGGTGAGCCTTAAGAGGTCCATATCCTCCCATTTCTTCACAGCCTAATCTGTTGGTAGCATCTAGAACCTGCGCAAATTACAATTAAGTTAACATGCATAAAATAATGACAAGGAAGAGGCAAGCATAATTCACATTTGTAGAGCAGCATGCAAAAACTTAAGTTGAGTTGGTCTCACTGCCCTAAGGATACATATCTAGAATATAAGGAGACTGCTTTTAATACAATAAATTATTTCTCAGTATGTCTTATCAGCAATATTTTGTATTAGACCAGCTCACAGATCTAAAGAAAGAAGCACTTCTTTGGGTCCACACAATTTTTTTGGCTTTGTTTCTTCATAAAGACAGAAACAAAACCAAGCAAACAAGGCCTGATGGCTCATTTAAGTATAGTCCAGCATCACATTCTAGTGATGTAAGAAGCTGTGGAAGCTATGGTTGGTGTCAAACTTCAACCTCTCAAGCACCCTAGAACTGCACAGTTCTCTGGATGTTGATGCAACCTAGACCTTACCATTCAGCAGACACTGGCTTGGCCACAGAGCTGGCCTGGACACGGGAACATGCTGCCAGGCCCTTTACAAAGGTTGCACTCATCATCATCCTCAAACATAAAACAGAGCTTCCTCCTCACCCCCCGCCCCATGCTAATATGCTAGACTATTGAACTTCAAAAAGCTTATACGACCCCCAAAACATTCTCTGCATATTCATTTTAGTGTCATGGCTGTATCTCACTGCTAAGATAGAACTATTTTTTCTTCCTATCTGTCATTCACATGCACAGTAATTCTTTGGCTGATACTGTCAAGACATGCATTAAGTGCAAGGTAAGCGCATGCTAAAATGCGAGGTAGGTTGATTTACATTGTAATGAATATATCTCCCTGTGATGAATCATTTAGTTGAAAACTGTTCTATATATTATACAACTCAACAAGAATTAATCTGAGTACACTCTGAACCTTAACTTCTGAGTGTAATGCACAGTATTTAGAACCATTTGCTTCCATGTCACTGAGAGACATTCCTTGTCCATGCTTTAGAATTCAGACTTAAATTATTATTTGATTATTATTTTTTTAAGTGCTGTTTAATAATGGATGTTGATTTTCAAGACACTCCTCTATGCAGCCAATAACACTCACAGTCTTCTTATAAGGTTTGCAATAGAGTGCACAGAAACTTTAGAAAAAAAAGAATGTTACCAATGTCATCAAATCATTTCACAGCAGCAAATATTTACCAATAGCTTTTCAACAAGGTCTTTTGCCTTGGGAAAAAATTTTTCTGGAAAGTCATATTCCAACTTTATTATCTTCTGGAATATAAGATACTCATTTCTGCAAAAGAGAAGGACATTAGCTCTTGCTATTAGTTCTCCATACTTCTTCCATCTTAACAGTGCATAACCTGGACAAGTATTAAACAGGAGATCTACAAGTTAAATCACATTCCCATAAATCTTTCTAGGGTAAAAGGGTATACTCTTCCAAGTATCTATGACCCTGTAAGCACTAGATACTTAAATAATAACAAGAAAAGTTCAAATGGCTCAGTACAGAGGTGCCTCATACCCTTCTCGTTTATGATAAATTACATGTGAAATCCTAAGATAAATTAAGGAATCTCTTTCAGGAAGTCTAATTAAAACTGTCTAAGCATCTTCATGACATCAGAAAGGACAAAGAAAAGCAGGCATGACATTAACACAAACACTGCACCATGAAAAGTTGTACTTCGGAACTGGTAGTCAGGTAAAAGCCAAAAGCAAGTCAATATATTTATGATCCACATGTAAAGAATTAGCTTTAATCTCTTACCCAGCTCTAAATGGAGGCAATCCAGCTACCAGCTGATATATTATACATCCCAGAGCCCAGAGGTCAGAGCTTCAAAAGAAAGTAAAAAAAACACATAGCATGTTTTCCTATAAGAGGTCTTTAAACTAATTTAAAAAAAAAAAGCTTCTGCTAGTTAGAACATAGCATGAACACATTATACAAACCTGCCTAGCATCATTTCCATACTATTTTCACTTCATTCCTTGCCAGAAGAGTAGGCTAGCAACAGAACTTTGGAAAAAAAAAAAGTATACACTAACCGTCCCATAACAACTGACTACAAGCACATGTGCAAGACAGCTGAATTATCAGTCAAAATAATTAATGGGTACGTAAGGAGACTAAAAAGAATACTTATTATCCACTACCACAGTTCAGAAATGCATCCAACTTAATGCAATACATGCTCCTTCAGAATTAAAATCCCTTCCTCTAAATATTTTACGCAAAAAAAAGAAAAAGTCACAATATAGCTTTTTCACTTAAAGCTTTTCTTAAGACACAAACAAAAAGGCAGGGTATACAGTACATGGGTGAGGGAAAGGTAAGGTTTAGTGTGGTGGCCTGAAAGAGTATTTTTAACTTACTTTACCTCATGGTAAACTATACATAGATTTGATTAAAGCTTTAAAATCCTCATGGAATACTAAAATACTAACAAAGACTCAAAACTACACAATCTAAGAGTCTTCTGTAAAGATGAAGCATTATGTAACTTCTAAAAGGAGATGATAGCCTGATGAAGTCTTTCCATTAGCCAAACCAGTCAAAATCTCATTATTAGAAGCAAAAGTGGAAAGTCTAATGGTATTTATATAATTTCAAGAAACACTAGCACAAGTTACTACAGTTATTCATATAAGAGATCTCTTTTCCCTATGATTTGTCAGTGATTTCTTTGAATATTCTTCCATCAGTGTAATAAAATAGACATGCAACAGTCTGTAGGTTACCATCAAGAACCAATTTAAATGAGATGAGAAATTTCTTAAGGGTATCACTCATACCAGGCACAGAGATGAGCTTTAAATGTTGCAAACCCCAAGCAAAGCTTGACAAAGATAACTGCAAGTTGATCTAAATACAAGTCAAAGAAAGCTGCAGCCTTTTCCCAAGTTGACAGAACGCAGCATTCCATTGCTTTCACAGCAGGA